CCAAGCTGCCTGATTGGAAAGGACAGCCTATCCGCAATTTGCGATCCATAAAATTGGGGGGTGGGAGGTGAGAACTCGCTTGTCTCTCATCGATGCTTCTTCTTCTTCTCCTCCTCCTCCTCCTCCTCCTCCTTTTTCCTCCTTATCCACCGCTCTATCCTTTTTTAATCCCCCGTTCTCCCCCGTCTCCTCCCTTCCAATTCCTTCATTCGTCCTTCGCGCTCATTCTCGCAACCCCTTTTTGCATTTCAAGGAACGCCGATACTCCCGCTGGAGATCCTTTGGATTCCCCAGCCGTTTGGATATTAACCGGAGATAAACGGAGAGTGAGGATTTTAATGAAATATCGACGTCATTCACGGTGAAAGTTTGTTTAATCTTCGAATGCCTTCGTTCACGCAACGCCGATCGCTGAATGCCCGCGCTCGCGCGGGCTCGCGCGGGCTCGCGCGAGCCGGAGAGTTCGTCACTCTTCACACTCTCGTAATTAATACTCTCGAGATAATTCGAGGAATTTTTACTGCTCGCTAGCAGGCGAAGGGCTGGAGAGTGCTCTGTTTGCAACGAGTGTCGTCACGTCGGTTTCCGTCAAATCCAAGTATCGGTCATTGAACAGTCCCGCGATCGTAACTTACAGCCTTGCTGCCGCTCGCTCGCGCCCGTCGTGGATTGATGAACAATTCGCTCGTGACGCTTCGGTCAGTCGCTCCGAGGCAGAAACGCTACGTCTCTCTCGGGCGTCGCGAGCGAGTTGAAAAATTCTCGAAACTCACGCTCGTGCATGAACGTGTAGCTTGTTGTAAAGGAGACTATCGTGCTGACGCGCCTTGTGTGTATGTGCACATGGCCGTATACACACACGCATAAACACACACACACACACACACACACAAATACACTGGGAATTACACGTGCGACAGCGTACATCTGCTCGTCCGTTGCTTGTGTAAACAGAGATTCGCTTATCGGCAGGCTAACACGTACGCAGCGCGATATTTTGGGAGCACTCCATCTTAGTTCTTTTACCGCATAAAAGAACAACGCTCCATATGTGTATCGCCCGAGTGCGACGCTCAAGAGAGTCGTGCTCTCGACGGCTGTGAGGAGAGGCCGCGATTAATTATCGCGAGCCATTTGATCGAAATCGAGCTTTGTGTACAGACCGATTATTATCCGCTACTCGGATCGCCGAAGACGCGCGAGAACTATCGCGAACGAAAAAGCGCTCCGCAGCTGTATGACACATCCACGCGAGTACGAGTTGGCTCGTATTTTTAAACGTTAGGACGTTGACGGATGATACCACGGGACGGAGATGCGGCTGCGTGAAACAACACGCCTTACGGGCGGGGGTAGCCCCCCTCCCCCCCCCCCGCCATTTTCAACGGCGCGTTCCGCGTTGTTACTCTCCGTTATTCGCCGTTACGCGACAGCGTAGCCCGGCGAGAGAACGTACCACGAATTTATTCGTATTATTTATGCTTCTCTGTTCTCAACACGAGCCGCTTCTAATGTACGTTCGACGGGGGGAGCGGGGGAGGGCGGGCGGTAATCCGAGGTGCGGTGGTCTTGCGCGAGATTCGCCGAGATATTTTACTTTTCCCCGCCGAACGTGGGGAAGGAGGCGCCGATTGAATCGAACATCGGCGAAACTTGGGAGAATCTCGCGACTTCGTGAAGTTCGCTCGATCGTTTCGGGATCGAGTTTTGGGTAACCATTGACTTTTGCTGACCGTCCGACGGTTCGACCGCGATTTCCTCACTTCCATTGTGTGTGTCGCACTTGAAGCAATCTTGAGTCTCTCCTTCTCTCTCTCTCTCTCTCTCTCTCTCTCTCTCTCTCTCTCTCGCTCGCTCGCTCGCTCTCCGTAACTTCGCCGTAAGATCGCCGGGTTTCTAGGTAGCGAGTTGGGTTAATGCTGACAATTGTCTCCTCGAGTCAATTACCGGCATTTCCATGCAAAACTCTCTTCAAGGCGGTGCCGCGGTGAACTCGCTCGTTCCGCCGCGATCGGATTTTTCTCCGCGTTGACGTATAACACCGCGAGGATCACACGGTGATCTCGGGGGCAGAAACAGGGCAGCGGAAAAGTGCAGGAGACAGGGAGAAGGACGCGGGAAAAGGACGCGCGCGCGTTCGTGCGTGGAAAACCGCGAGGTCGTGATAAATTAGCGTGATAACCAACGGAGGCACGGAGTTGTCGCGGGCGCGAGTACTCGGGAGTCAAGTTCGCGCGATGCGAGTCGGCTGTGATCGAAGCACACCGCGTTGCCTGACACTGTTTATAATTTAAGGGGTTCTCGAGACTCGAGAGGCGGCTGCGAGGGTTCGGAGTGACGCCCGGCGGTGGCCTAAGACATCGCGAGGGACGCTGTCGTTCGACTGCGGTTGGGATGGGCGCGGCGAGGGTGAGACGGAAGGGGAGGCACCGAAGTCGAAGTGTCGAGGTGTCTACGTGCCTTGCCACGGGTCTGATATTGTCGTGACTTCGTTACGGCGAGATGTAATTAGCGCGTTACCTTTTACATAGCCCGGCTCGCTTGGCTCGCGCGGAACCGTCTGCACTTTCCCGGCGATTTTTTATGATCGCGGCGCCCGCCCCTCCCCTCCCCTCCTCCCCCGGCTAGCCCTCGCGCCTCCGCTGGCGTCCTCGGGCTATTTATAATTCGCCGCGGACTTCTATTTGCGAGGATAACGCTCGGGCGGAATCGGACTTACATTTATAGATGTGTGCATATTACGTGCGCGCATACACGCTCGCGAGTAGAACGGATAGATCTGCGACGCGTCTGCTCGCAGCTCGCCGCTGCGATGCTCGGAACGGGTAAAAACCGCGCGCGGGTGATCGATCTCATAATTTACTACACTAGAAATACGCGACGTGCGAGCGCACGCGGACGACACGACGACGTCGGGGCCGCGATGCTCGACTTATTCCAGGATCCAAGGACTCTTTTGCGAATGAAGGCGATGGGAGACAGGCAAAAAATCCGATTATCCTCGATCGGCAATGATCGGCCGCTTATTCGGGCAATCGAATTAAAAACGACTGGATGCAACATCAGAATGTCACACAATCCCTCAACAACGATGATGCTCTTTCGGTCTGACCTGGAGGTAATAAAATGTCGCGACCTGTATTCATTTTGATATATACCTCAGCTAAACTCGGCAGGATTAATACGGTACATGCATTTTAATATTAGCTCGATAGTCGATCCTTCGGATGGGGAAACGCGATTTCGCCCTCGGGTCATCGGGAATAGGGAACCGAAAATAAAACTCGGTAAGCGGTTTCATATTACCGCGGGTCCCTTCGTATATTAAACCTGCTTATTCGCATTTAAAATTAATTGTCGCTGCTAATGTGGGACGTGCAAGTTTTCCCGCTCGTTCATCATCGGGTATACGTGAGTGTGTACGCTGTGTGTGTGTGCGTGTGCGGGAAAGAGAAGGGGGCGAGGGAGGGAAGGAGGGGGGGGGGAGAAGGGCGAAAGGTTCAGACTTGCAAGAAGGAGAATTAGAACAGATCGAAAGAATACAGCGGCGACGATGAGAGACGACGACGACGACGTTCGAGGGGTTATTCCTCCCGAGGTGCCGTCTGCCGTATGACGGATTCGCGTTGTTTGCCGAAACGTCGGGTTTGTTTAAATGCTAAAGAAGCGGGATATATATGGAAAAGAGACGCGCTTCTCCTTCACGCGGTTAGAGGTAAACGGCTCGGGCCGCGCGGTGCGCGCATATACGTCGCGCGCCATATTACACACAACCTCTCGCGGAAACGAGACCGTGGAAAAGGCCGCTTTAAGGGCTATAAAACATTTGTTTCCCCTCTCCGCCGCCGCACGCCCAAGTGGTATATTGCGTTCGCCCGCGAGAGAGAGAGAGAGCGAGCGCGCGGGATTTTGAATTGAATTTGAAATCAGGGGGCCCGATTTTATGGCAGTCGGGTGTCAAACGTCGAAGTGTCGCGCCCGGTGCCGGCTTATCGGCGGGAAACTCCGGGATCCCGGAACGAAAGCTCCGAAGGACCGTTATCGGTTTACTCCTGCGTCCTTAGGTTACGCGATACAGGATGCGGAGTCGGACCGTTCAATTCCCGTTTCCCATTCTGGAGGCCGAGCGCGGGAAAAAGGGCGCGGAAGTCACTGTTTCGTTTTATCGTCTCCGCCGTTCCTTGATGCTCGCACCAAACGGTCGGGTTATACTTATAGCTCAGAGGTTCGCAATCCTTCTCGCTCAACTTGTTGCCGAGTGTTTCTCGCGAGCTATCGAACTCCCCGCGTCGCAGCTCGCGATCGCTATCTCGCACGGCCCTCCGTAATCTTGCGAGTCGAGTTTCGCGCGTAATTGCGTCATTATTCAATGAGCGTCTCGTGTAAGATCAACGTCGGTTCGAGAAAAACATGTCACAACAGCGAGCGCTTCGTTTGGCGGACGGTCAAGTCTGGTCAATCTCTCGACGTGTGTTTCACATTCATAATAAGCGCTGCTGATACGAGGAGAGAGAGAGAGAGAGGGGGGGAGGGAGAGAGAGAGAGGAGGGGAGAGAGAGGGAGAGAGAAAAAAACGCTACACGAACATCGCCCGCGCGGATTAGTACCTTCAATTTTATCTGCCGCGTAAACATGTGACGCGAGATACGGCTCTGTTTAAAGAGATCACACGAGTATCGTGCTTTGTTATCGCCTGATAAAGCCGGGTGAAAGTTCACCGCACCGAATTAATGTAATTCAGTTTAATTGTTTTTTCCAAACATTTGCCACGCGACATGCCCTACCGGATGTACAGAGTTGTAGCGGCTACGAGAGGAAATTAGCGCGCGCGCGCGATTTTTCATCGCGTGGTTAAAGGCGCGCGCGATCGGCTTGAGCCGAGCGGAATTCTCCGATCATCGCGTGTCCCCGCGCGTCCGAGGCGCGTCAGGGACGGCGATAAAAAATAAATATTGCATGCGGTAATAAATCGAGGTTGTTCCCCGAGATTAATTCCTTACCTGATCGCTGTCTTGTTGATCTTGGCCGTAAGTGGGAGTATCACCATTAGGGGTGGTGGCGGCGGAGGGTCGCTGTGACGTTGACAAGTTGATCGCGCCGTCTCCGTCTGTGTCATGATCCATTATGCCATCGTCCTGAAATCACGATCATCGTTACGTCAGTATCCTCCTCGTGCACCGAGCTCGATTATAAATGACACGTACTTTTCGAGAACGCGTTGGCGCACGTGTCGCTTTTGCGTTCCTTTTCTTTCCTCTTTTTGCTCTTCATTTTTTACCGATTAATGCGGCCAAGCCCGGGACGGGTCTCGCGGCTCCGTTTCTACGTTTCGCCATCACTCGCGACAATTACCGAATCGGGCATCTCACGAGTCGAGTCACGAATCGTGTATCGCCTTCTATCTGTGTTTGTACGGTGATATTTATAAAGCGATTACGCGCCGTGTGAGAAAGAAAGCGCAGAGATGCCCGATGACGATGACGGGCAGCGCAACAATCGTGACGAGATCTCGAAACGTGCGCGCTCTCGTCGGACGCAGCTACCAACGCGCGGCAGCCACGATTTTAGATCGAAGTCTGACGCACGTGATTCTCCACCCACTCGAAGTAAGAGAAACAATGTTTCGTACGGTTACGGAAAGCTAATAATACAGACTTTCCCGGAAATGCTTAGGCTCATGTAAATTCACGCCAAGATTCTGCTTTCTATCATAGACGATGTGTATAATAGACAACAGCTCCGCGAGATTGTCGTAAATATTACGGTACATCGCGCGCGATAGTTTAGCCATATATAAATAATTAGTAAATTCTACTCGCGGTTACGCGTTACACGCAGAGGCCCGCAAAGCGCGCGCGCGCGCTGAAACAGCCGGAGAGTAAACACTACGCGGCTGGATATTTCAAAAATTGGAATTTTCACGCGAACTGGAGCAAAAGTTACAATTGCCGCGTGAAGCGGAGAGCAACTGACGGCAAAAATGTAAAAAAGCCGCCTAAATTATTATATTACGCCCGTGCGTACGCGCGAGAATGGGGGCCCGAATTAAATCATCATTAACATATTAATTAGCCAAGAAAAGTTTAGTCACGCAACATCGGCCGGTGCATCGGACCGTCCGCGTCGCGCCGGATTGTAAATCGACGGAAAACATCGGTTTCTCTAGAAAGGAATAATTATGCGCGCGACACGCAAGCCGTTAATTAAACATCGGTTATTTCGTATTCCGCGGCTAGAACGAGCGGCGCGCTGGTGCAGCTCTGTAAAGAGGAAGAAAGAAAAGTACGTAATCAAGCGACGCATAATTAATGCCCATTCACATCGCCGGTTACATCGGCGACGCATCAAACGTCCGCGAGTAATATCACGCCCCGCCTAGAGTCACCCGTGGCAATCGCTTAATTAATTCTTAATTAGCGTACATCGCGTCAAGATTCGATCAAAATTCCTTACGTCGACTGCTTCGGCTACGGCTCGCTGGCAGTCGCGTTGCAGTCCATCGACGATACACTTTCCACGGAGCAACGACAGAGAGAGAGAGAGAGAGAGAGAGAGAGAGAGAGAGAGAGAGAGAGAGAGAGAGAGAGAGAGAGAGAGAGAGAGAGAGAGAGACAGAGAGAGAGAGAGAGAGAGAGAGAGACAGAGAGAGAGAGAGAGAGAGAATCCGCCGTTTCCGGCGTCACGAGACAAGACACAGCACTCCGGAACTTTACACGTCTAACGGCATTTCCGGTCGCGAGGACCGACACGTATCGCGCGCCAACACCTGCCCCCTCACGTCCGCCGTAAACATTCGATGCACCCCGCACACTCCCGTACACACTATGCACACTCACACGCACGCAGCACACGCGCGCGAAAACGCCGCACGGTAGCGGCACCGGAAGTCGCTTCGCCGATTGTCTCGCGGTGGCACCGCGGGCGGGTACACACACTCCTCACACTGCATCCAGAAATCAAAAGCGGCACTTTGAACTTTTCCTCGGCGAAGTCGCGCCGCCAAGTCATTCGCGGGTGAAGGGAAAGAGGGGGTAAATCGAGAAAGCACCCCCGACAAACGGAGCGCAACGCGCGGCGACTGTGTCAAGAAAGGCAGCGACAGAGAGAGAGAGAGAGAGAGAGAGAGAGAGAGAGAGAGAGAGAGAGAGAGAGAGAGAGGGGAGGGGGGAGCGGGAGCGAGAAAGAGAAAGAAAAAAGGCAGAGAGGAAAAGAGGCAGAAGGAGAACGCGCGTCGGATTCGCGAAGTAGACGAAAGCCAACGTTAACGTGCCGACCGAGTAGAGCGAGGACTAAACACTAAAAGCGGCACAGGCATACCAAGCAGCCCGACCGGCGGGGCTGTTGCTTATTGTGTAAATATAAACAAATATAGTTGAAACCAACCAACAGGCCTCCTTTCAGCTCCCCCACCCCTCACCCTCCGGTTGCCGAGACCTCCGCTCATATGTGTGTGCCCTACCTTCTTCTCCTCCGCGTCCCCGTACCCCTCCTCCTGTACCCAACCCCCCCTCTACGTGTCACGTCCAAAGATTGCCTCCCCCCCTCGTCCCGCTTAGGCACCCTCCCTTCGCTACGTCCCTGACCCCACTACCGGCAGGCAAACCACTACATCATACGCGGCACATTGTGGCCTGCCTCGCCTTACCATATGTTCGTCTCTTTCTCTCTCTCTCTCTCTCTCTCTCTCTCTCTCTCTCTCTCTCTCTCTCTCTCTCTCTCTCTCTCTCTCTCTCTCTCTCTCTCTCTCTCTCTCTCCCTCCCTCTCGCACTCTATTCATCTCCCCTCTCTCTCGCTCTCTCTCTCTCTCTCTCTCCCTCTCTCTCGCTCCGTGTGCCCGCGCATCACACATCGACGACTCGTCACACACTGTCGCCGAAGTCGGTGGGATTGCGTGCCAGCGCGACTCTGAGAAGCTTTTGGGGTTCCTCTTTTCTCTTTTTTCTTTTTTACACGTGAGCCGCCTCTGCGGATTGTCGAGGAAGGGAGAGCGACCGAGAGGTACGTCTCCTTCCCTCTCTCTCTCTCTCCCCCTCTCTCTCTCTCTCTCTCTCTCTCTCTCTCTATCTCTCTCTCTCTCTCTCTCTATCTCTCTCTCTCTCTCTCTCTCTCTCTGTCTCTGTCTCTGTCTCTTGGGAGTACTTAATGCCGCACGTGTCGTGGGAGTAACCATGATTATTCGGCACCGGTTTACGCGCGCCGCGAACTTCCATTGTCGATCGATCGATCGATCGGCGACGGACAATTTGTACGACCGGACCGTGAGACTTTTTTCCCCGGAATGCTTCTGCAATGCAAATCTTGACGGATCCGCGCGTTAAATTTGGGCCGTTGCCATGCACCGAGGCTTGGAGGCAGAGAGTTCTTTTGATCGGCGGCGAGCCGATTCTTTTAGCGAGGAGACGAAATTCACAGTGAAGAAATCGGGGAGGGAAGTGCAACTCTGAAGATATTCCTGGTGCGCATATGGCGGCGGCTGTCGATGGCGTGTGCTTGTAGACGGATTTTAGAGGTATATAAAGTGCGGAAAAAGCGAATAAAGAAGTAACTAAAGCAGCTCGCTCGTTTGCCAAATTTACATTCTACTCAATGTCGCAACCGCGACACGTGTTGGATTTCCGTCTCGAGGGATTTCTTGCTTCGCGCTATCGGTCAAATCATTGCCGCCGCAAATTACGTCTTTCGGCTGTTATTTCGTCGGGTATTGAACCGAGACGATACACGCGCGCGCGCTCTATGCTATAAGCTACGGAGCTATAAACTCTATAAACTCACGCTTAGATAGCCTTTAACGATACAATCTCCCGCGACGTAACGACGCGTTACGTGCCGTTGAGGAACAACGTCTTAATGCACCTCGCGATAAGCACTTCACGGCTTCATCCTCGGTTTCGCGAAAAGAGGCGAAGTGGACGGTGCAGGTATGGAAATTCTATTCTTTAGTTAGCTAAGTATATATACGCGCGCGAGGCGCGGTACACACGAGCGATAAATACGCGTGTACACACGTGTTGCCTGACGCAACCTGAACCACCGGCTCGGCTCGGGTTTGTACAGGCGAGCCGGAAATGGGGGGACAAAATGTTCCTCGAAACGACGTGTCCTTAAATATTCCTTTCACTCGTGCCTCAGCTCCTCGACAATCGCGCGATGTAGAGCGATACTGTACCTTCCCGCCGTGAGATCCCGAAGACAAAAACACACGTGTGGTGCTCGGATTTCGAATTATTACACCGCGCACACTCGTTCGTTTCGGGACGATCGACCGACACGACGATTGTATTATTACATACACCGTTGCCGCGCGTAACACACAGAAGCGAGGACATGTGTCCTCGCTTCTTGGCGGCGCGATCAACTCTACTTTGAGGCTCGGCAGGAAGACGGGACGCGGGATAAAATGTGCCTGTGCGCTCTGCAACCTAAATTGCAAACTGGTACAAGAGAAAAAAAAAAGAAAGAACCGCGACGCGTTTCTCGGACTCCTCGGACGGTGCATGATGTGTGCGCGCGTTTAGCCCAACGATGAAAAAGTGTATTCATAATTCTACGAAAGAGATTAAAAAGTCATTACGACAGAGAGTATCTGTGGGTATCTGTCTCGACGCAGTACGCGCAGTTTCTATGAAACATAAGCCAGTTACACGGTGGGACACGGCGCTGCCTAAATTACAAAAGCAAAGTTTCGCGGCTGAGCCCATTAGTTATTCTTGGAAGGAATTTTACGCCGACACTCGCAGAGCGATATCGCGCGAGTGAGTAATTTATACGTAAATATATTAACGCTTAGTCACATCGCACACCGCGCGTGTCTCACGACGGGCAACTGTCTCGCGAAATTAAAGCGCACGCCGGCCGTGCCGAGATCGGCGCACTTGTCCAAAACACGTCCCGAGGAAGACGCCCGGCGTCGACTTAGAATTTCGCCGAAAAACTCCAAGCAAAATCTATTCGGTCCGGCGGCAATTACCCGAATAAATAACACAAAGTCGACCTCTTTGGCAACGGCTAGCTAAAACCGCGCGAAAATTCCTGCGCGAAAATCCGGTGCTCGCCGTAACGCGAAATTTCCACCGCGACGCGCTTCATTTCTTCGACTCGCACATTCTCGCGCGTGGGTTCGCGCGCGGGTTTACG